GCTAGTCAAGCTAGACTAGGAACAATCCTGAGCTTTCTTCTTCCTTGTCTTTCCTATTTCTTCTCTCCCAAAGGAGGCGCAGATAGCTCAGTGGTAGAGCATCGGGCTGGTGAGCTTGGAGGTCAGGGTTAGGTCAAGGGTTCGATTCCGGATCGGTACAAATTCTTTGCCACTCAGTTTTTTTCTTTATTTTTTCCTTTATCCTTTAGAAAATCAGTTTTAAAATAACTAGATGATCTATAGATCTATAAATAGAGAAGACATGATTCAGATTTAGTTTCTGATTTACCTAATAACACTTCTTTACAAGCATTGACTTTTACACTTTTGCAATCGTTGCAATCCATCAATTTATTAGCTTTTCTTGTCTTTTGAACGGCCCTTTTCTTCTTGTTCTCTCACTAGATTTGATCGAGTCTTTCATTTGATCTTTCTTGACAGTTCAAGTCAACCATTTTTTACCCATTATTGCTTAACAAATAGCCACAAAATTCACCGTTCCATTGCCCTGAGTTTACTCAAGAATTCTCTAACTGTTGACTCTAACTATTAACTTTAACTGTTAACTCTAACTATTGACTTTAACTATTAAGCTGTCTAGAAAGCCTTTCCTTTTCTTTACTTTGATTTAATTGTTTTTAAAATCAAGTGGACCGAATCGTCCTAGGGCCAGACAGCCTTCGTCCACTGGTGGACCGAATCGTCCTAGGGCCAGACAGCCTTCGTCCACCGGTGGACCGAATCGTCCCAGGGCCAGACGGCCTTCGTCCACTGGTGGACCGAATCGTCCCAGGGCCAGACAGCCTTCGTCCACCGGTGGACCGAATCGTCCCAGGGCCAGACGGCCTTCGTCCACTGGTGGACCGAATCGTCCCAGGGCCAGACAGCCTTCATCCACCGAATCGTCCCGAACGTGTTAAGCTGTCTAGAAAGTCTTTCCTTTCCTTTACTTTGATTTAATTGTTTTTAAAATCAATCAATAGACCAAAATAAACCAATTAAACATTTATTTCATTAGAAAAATCAATGAATAATCAATGAATAATCATTCAATAATCATTCAATAATCAATCAATACTCAATCTTTAAATAAAAATATAAAAAAGAAAGAAAAGCATTTACTAAAAAGCTTAAAAGCATTAATTTTCTTGTTTGTTAAATGAATTTTGAAAATAAAAGCCTTCTTTAGCCTTCTATTTTGTTAGATTTATTTACTAAAAGTATTTACTAAACTACAGAAAACTTTAGCCATAAACTTTCTAAAGAAGAAAAAAAGGCGATAATTTGTTTTCTTTTGAGGGAAAAACTTTTTCACTTTATGATGCTGATTTTGTTGGAAAATTCTTTAGCAAACTGAATTCTTTCTCTTTGTTTTTTTTGAGCTCAACATCTGTGATTTTCTGGAGGAAAAAAAATTGGCTAGCACATGCTTTTTTTGATTGGGTAAATTGCAGAAATTTTCGAATCTTTTCCAGAAACTTAAACCCTCCGACTCTTTTTAGAATCAACTCTTTTAAACAACTGTAACATACTATTTTAGTTGGGTTACTGTATCTCAGTACTAAGCCTTCTTGTTGTGGAATGGAGTCGGATTACTGTAGCGTACGCTGGTGGCTGTAACTTGGCTAGTGTAGCTAGGCTATTGTAACTTGGCTAGTGTAGCTGGGCTATTGTAACTTGGCTGTTGTAGTTGGGTTACTGTAGCTTGCCTAGTGTGCTTGCCTAGTGTAGCTAGGCTACTGTAACTTGGCTGGTGTAGCTAGGCTACTGTAACTTGGCTATTGTAGCTGGCCTACTGTAGCTTGACTAGTGTAACTTGGCTGGTGTAGCTAGGCTACTGTAACTTGGCTGGTGTAGCTAGGCTACTGTAACTTGACTAGTGTAGCTTGCCTAGTGTAGCTGGCCTACTGTAACTTGGCTAGTGTAATTGGGTAACTGACGGTAACTGACCTATTGCAACGGGGCAATTGTAACTTGACTTCTCTAGCTGAGCTATTGTAACTGGGCTAGGGTGGCTGCAACTAGATGGGTTACTGTAGCTACCGGACAGAAAACAAATAGGGATAGTGGCGTCATTTTGTGGTGCTCATCTGTAAACGCTTTCTCTACTATTACATTTAGTACTATTACAGTATTCACGGTAAGTCTATAAAGCTGGTCTCTCAGGTATTTCGGCTTAAAAACATAACTTTACTTTCCCTCAAAAACATCAAAGAGATGGTGGCGTGATGAACGGCGATTTTTAGCACTTTTACTGCTTTTGCTCACTTTTTCAATGAATTTTTTCATCACTCTACGGCCATAGAGTTTTTTTTCGGAAAAAGCCTAGTTTTTTTTTTTGGGTTTTCCCCTCTTTTCCCCTAGCTTTTTCTACGTCCTTTTATCCATTTCCTTTTCAAAAAAAAAAAAAGATTGAGTGATTGTCGAATTTTCTCGATTTTTTCATCTCTCTTCTTTTTCTAAACAACAACTGTCAATTTTTTAGATTCAAAACATTTTTCTCATTTCAATATTTGATCTTTATAACTGTTTTTCTATCCATAAGTTGTTGTTTTTTATTGGTAAAGTATTTAGCACCGAGTGCTTGCCTTAAGGCTGTGCTGAAGGCTGTGCTTTAAGGCTTTAAGTGCTGAGCTTTAAGGCTGGGCTTTAAAGCTATGCTTTAAGGTTATGCTTTAAGGTTATGCTTCAAGGCTGTGCTTTAAGGCTGGGTTTTAAGGCTGTGCTTTGAGGCTGAGCTTTAAGGTTATGCTTCAAGGCTGGGCTTTGAGGTTGTGCTTTAAGGCTGAGCTTTAAGGCTCTGCTTTAAGGCTGGGCTTTAAGGCTGAGCTTTTAATTGTTGAAAGAACAGACATCCTGTCTTTTCCTTTTTTAGTTCGCAATTCATGATCATTTGCTTTCTAATTGGTTCATCTAGAAACATTAAGTGAAATTTTGGAGCTGATCCAACAAAAAATAGCTGAACGCTAGGAAAATGAACAGTTCCATTATCCTACTTTTCCAATAAAGATTAAGAAGAATCTAGATTTTAAAATAGATTTTAAAAGGGGCTTTAAAACAGGTTTTAAAGCGGCTTTTAAAACAGATTTTAAAAGGGGCTTTAAAACAGGTTTTAAAGTGGCTTTTAAAACAGATTTTAAAAGAGGTTTTAAAACAGATTTTAAAAGAGGTTTTAAAATAGATTTGAAAGCTATTTAATCTATTTAAAAAACTGTTTCAAAACTGTCTTAAAAACTGTTTTAAAACCTCTTTTAAAACCTCTTTTAAAACCTCCCTAAAATCTAGATTCTTCTCAACCTTTATTGGGAAAGGTAGGATAATGGAACTGTTTTAAAAACTGTTTTAAAGGGTTTTTAAAGGAGATTTTAAAACAGCTTTTAAAATAGATTTAAAAACAGTTTTTAAAATAGAATTTACAACAGTTTTAAAGCTATTTAATCTATTGAAATCTTTAAAATCTCCTTTTTTTTCTAATTCTTGAAAGAATTTCGTTTTCAGATTTGGAAGCTGGTCAACTAAGCGCCATTCTTCAGCTCATCTACTCCCTTTCTCAATATAAACATCAACAAAAAGTGAAGTGAGATTTTGAAAGCTTTATTAATGATTATTAATGATGTAGATTGTTGATTTTGCTCACCATTGATGGGATTGAGAGTGGCATAAGAGTAATGTAATATTTAGAAGCTTTAGGACATAAATCTATCACAAATACAAATCTAACGTTAAAATGATGATCAATGGTTGAGGATTTAAATAAAATCAAAAGAAGTTTTGAAAAAGAATCTCTCTACATAGATATGCTTTCTTCAGTTGAATAGTGATAAAACAAAATCACAATAATTACTCGGGATACCACTCTCAAAACACACGCAACAGGTAAATAGATATCTCAAGAAAGAATCACAAAGCAGTCAAATCAATTGCCGAAATTGTGGCTTTAAATCTAGCCAAGGTGGGAATATCACGAGCATGAGGATCACGAGCAGGGGATAAAATGTTCCAGAATTTAATAACTCGATTAAAAAAGAAAACTGTGAGAGCTTTTAGAGGCTTTTAGAGGCTTTGAGAAGCTTTTAGAAGCTTTTAGTGGCTTTTAGAAGCTTTTAGAAGCTTTTAGAGGCTTTTAGAAGCTTTTAGAGGCTTTTGGAAGCTTTTAGAGGCTTTTGGAAGCTTTTAGAAGCTTTTAGTGGCTTTTAGAGGCTTTGAGAAGCTTTTAGAGGCTTTTGCAAGCTTTTAGAAGCTTTTAGAAGCTTTTGGAAGCTTTTAAAAGCTTTTAGAAGCTTTTGGAAGCTTTTAGTGGCTTTTAGAAGCTTTTAGAAGCTTTTAGAAGCTTTTAGAAGCTTTTAGAGGCTTTTAGAAGCTTTTAGTGGCTTTTAGAGGCTTTTGCAAGCTTTTAGAAGCTTTTAGAAGCTTTTGGAAGCTTTTAAAAGCTTTTAGAAGCTTTTGGAAGCTTTTAGTGGCTTTTAGAAGCTTTTAGAAGCTTTTAGAAGCTTTTAGAGGCTTTTAGAAGCTTTTAGTGGCTTTTAGAGGCTTTTGCAAGCTTTTAGAAGCTTTTAGAAGCTTTTGGAAGCTTTTAGTGGCTTTTAGAAGCTTTTAGTGGCTTTTAGTGGCTTTTAGAAGCTTTTAGAAGCTTTTGGAAGCTTTTGGAAGCTTTTAGAAGCTTTTAGAAGCTTTTAGAGGCTTTTAGAAGCTTTTATAGGAAACGGAAGGTTGGCGGATGAGGCGTACATACGATTTAAACAGAGAAAAACACATAGAAAACGAGAAAGCGAGAATTAAGGCGGAAAAAAGCAAGAAATTAAGAATTAAAGCGGAAAAATGTGAAAAATCAAATTGTGATATAAAAATTGAAAAAAAATCACTGAAAACTTTGATTTTTCTGTAAAAATGACTTAAAATTAAATTATTATTATAAAATTATAAAAATTGAAGTCTTTTTTAGAAGAAAACTTGAAGAAAAGGAAGAAAGCCTGGAGAAGCGAGAGGAAGAAGGAGAAGAAATGGCATCCAATACAAAGTAAGTTCAAATAGTAAGGGAGTAGGGAAGTAGGGAAGTAGGAAAGTAGGAAAGTAGGAAAGTAGGAAAGTAGGGAAGTAGGGAAGTAGGAAAGTAGGGAAGTAGGGAAGTAGGGAAGTAGGGAAGTAAGGAAGTTTTTTTCCTTTTAAGCATTTAAGCATTCTTTTACAATTCTTTTATCTTAAAATCCTTTAAATTAACATTTCTTTGTCAAATTCTCAATCAATTTACATTTATTTTAACATTAACCTTTATTAAATACATTAAATTTACAATCAATTAAGGCTTTAAGTCTTTAAGGCTTTGATGAGCTTAACTTTAAGCTCTCTCAAAAGTCTCAAAAGTCTCAAAAGCTAAAATCCCTTTTCACTGAATTCCCCATTTTTTCCACATCTTTTCAAGAACTTTTGCACACAGAAAAATAAAGCATCTAGTGCACTAGAAAGCGTGCGTTTAGAAAGTTAAGTACAAAGTGTACAAAGTGTACAAAGGGTACAAAGTGTACAAAGTGTACAAAGTGTACAAAGTGTACAAAGTGAAGTGTACAAAGTGAAGTGTACAAAGTGAAGTGCACAAAGTGAAGTGCACAAAGTGAAGTGCACAAAGTGAAGTGCACAAAGTAGTCCTTTTTACTAACCCAGGAAATTCCCAATTTAACCCAAAAACCCGGCTTTCTATTTCTAATTACTCAAAAAAGTAAACAAAAAAAAAGCTGAATATTACGCTTTTTTTTTGCGGTTTTTTTCATTTCAAATCTCTTTTTTTAATGAAAAATACGAAAATGAATGTTATTAAAATGAGATTTTCCTTGAAATTTCAATTTCTTCAATTTCTTTCACAAATTTTTTTGAATCAAACACTTTACGGCATACTTTTTAAGCTCCTTAAGCTCTCATCCTCATCCTCATCCTCATCCTCATCCTCATCCTCATCCTCATCCTCATCCTCATCCTTATCCTCATCCTCATCCTCATCCTTATCCTCATCCTCATCCTCATCCTCAAATTCCTCAAACATTACCCTTTCTAGTACACTAATCGATCTAATTTTTACGATCTAATCGTTCAATTACTCGCCAAGCGAATTTCCCCTTTACGAAATTCGGCATATTGAAGGCTAGGATTGGAAAAATTGTTTCCCCCTCCCCCGCCCCGAAAAAACTCCAAAAACTCATCGTTAATTTGGCGGCCACACCCGGTTGTAAGAGACAGGGCCCCTAGCTAGTCAGCCATGGCGGCCATTACCCTCCAGCCATCCCCTCCAGCCATCCCCCACCTGGGGAAACTCGATTTATTTGGTGAAAACGAAAATTTCTCCTTATTTTCTTTCGAATCTAGCATTGAAAATATGTTAGCTGCTGAACACATGCATTTTTCAACACCCTTTCTCCCCCGTTTTCTCTTTTCATTTTCCCCGAAAGATCCACCCAAATTAATGAATCGTAAAATGGAGGACCCAAAGAATTGAAAAAAAAAGAAGGATTCTTTTAGATCTTTTAGATCTTTTAGATCTTTGCATTTAAAAAAACATTAAACTTTATCCCCTGTTTTTCCCTTATTTTTGCTTATTTTTGATTAAAGAAACTATAGCTTTACTTAATCTTCTGCTGTACTTCTGCTGTACTTTGTGCTTACAGGTAAACGCACCCTTCTGTGAACAGTAAAAATTAGCTGGTGAAATCTATGAAACCATGATATTTCCGCTTTGCGAAGTGATTCGTTCATCTAAATAATACACCAATTTTCTTCTCTCAATAGTACTTTGATCTCAATCGAGTCTCCAATAGAGACTCCAATTGAGTCTCCAATAGAGTCTCTAATAGTCTCCAATAGTCTTCCATAGAGTCTCCAGAGTCTCCAATAGTCTTCAATAGAACCTCCAATAGAGTCTCCAATAGTCTCTAATAGAGTCTCTAATAGAGTCTCTAATAGAGTCTCTAATAGAGTCTCCAGAGTCTCCAATAGTCTCCAATGGTCTACAATGGTCTTCAATAGAATCTCCAATAGAGTCTCCAATAGTCTCTAATAGAGTCTCTAATAGAATCTCTAATAGAGTCTCCAATAGTCTCTAATAGAGTCTCTAATAGAGTCTCCAGAGTCTCCAATAGTCTCCAATGGTCTACAATGGTCTTCAATAGAATCTCCAATAGAGTCTCCAATAGTCTCTAATAGAGTCTCTAATAGAATCTCTAATAGAGTCTCCAATAGTCTCTAATAGAGTCTCTAATAGAGTCTCCAGAGTCTCCAATAGTCTCCAATGGTCTCCAATGGTCTTCAATAGAATCTCCAATAGAGTCTCCAATAGAGTCTCCAATAGTCTCCAATAGAATCTCCAATAGAGTCTCCAATAGTCTCTAATAGAGTCTCTAATAGAATCTCTAATAGAGTCTCTAATAGAGTCTCCAGAGTCTCCAATAGTCTCCAATAGTCTCCAATAGAGTCTCCAATAGAGTCTCCAGTCGAGTCTCCAATAGAGTCTCCAATAGAGTCTCCAATAGAGTCTCCAATAGTCTCTAATAGTCTCCAGTCGAGTCTCCAATCCTCCAAATGAGTTCGGTTCATGAGCTCAATGAGCTCGAAACTTGAAGCAAGTGAAAGTTCCAAATAACAATGGTTTTTAAGATATCTTCAATTCCTAACAAAATTTAATTCTCGAATTTCCGTTTGCAAATGAATGAACTTGAGAATCGTGACGAAATTGAGCTTTTGAAAGCTTTGAATTTGAAGCAATTGTTCACGAATGGCACGAATAGAGTCTGGAAGTCCGATGATTTCACAGAAAAGAGTTACTTTTCTGCACAATTGCTAGAAAATCTAGAAATCCAGGAAATCTACTAGGATCTACTAGAAAATCTGCAAATTTGATTAGAAAATCTGCAAAATTATTGGAAAATTCATCCCAAAAGACTCAATAAGTTTTCGAATTCGATACCATAAAGTAAATGCATAAGGTAAATGCTCTTTTCTATATAACTTTTCCAAAACTCACCCCAAAAATCATTATTTTTGTATAGTTTAACCCTTTTGAAAGGGTTTAAAAGAAAAGGGAAAAGCCGGAAAAACATTCTTTATTGACTTTTGCTTCAGACGAAATCCCAAGGGGAAAATTTGGGAAATCAGGAGAATGGCTTCAAGTTTTGCCCCTTTCTTTTCTCTTTTCTTTTCTCAAAACCACACAACAAACATATATCCACATTTTTCATTTCTTTCTAAAGCTTATATGAAGCCTTATCTTTTCTTGTGTACTTTGTTTTCTTTCTTGCAACTTACTTCCCTACTTCCTTTGCTCCTCACTCTTCCTCGTCCACTTGATCATTTCAATGAGTTTAAAACTGTAAAACCCAATTTCTAGTGTACATTTTATTGTTTTAAGCTTACTATCAATGCTTTGAGAGTACTTTGAGCCTTAATCCTTGTAAAAATATCCTTTCTAGTGCACTGTTTTTGTGGCTAGAATGTGTCTAAAGGATTCGCCTAAAGGAATTTCATTCTATTGACTTTTAAATGTAAATTTTGTTTCAAAATAGCCAATTATTCTTTAGCTTTTTGATTATAATCTTTAGATTTTCAATTTGTTTATAGTATTTATTAGTAATAGTATAGTTAGAGTTAATTTATAAACAATAAACTATAAATTATAAACTACAAACAATAAGCTATAAACTTTTCAGAATCCAATCCCCCTCACGCATCTCCTTTCCACAGAGTCGTTTAATGACACCGACAAGGATGACAACGCCGAAGGGTTTGTTTTTCTTTATTAAAATGCTCATAATATTTATAGTAGTATGTGATTTTAAACATTTTTTATCTATTGCAACTAGAAGCAAAAGTATAAGCGATTCTTATGCATATTAACTTTAAAAAGTTAGAGTTCAAAGTTAGAGTTTCTAACTTTGAACTTTAAACTTCAAAACTTTAAACTTCTAACTTTAAACTTCTGACTTTAGGCTTCTAACTTCTAACTTTAAACTCTATAAGTTTAAACTTTAAACTTTAAACTTTAAACTTTAAACTTTAAACTTTAAACTTTAAACTTTAAACTCTAAGCTTTTAACTTCTAACTTCTAACTTCTAAGCTTTTAACTTCTAACTTCTAACTTCTAACTTCTAACTTCTAACTTCTAACTTCTAACTTCTAACTTCTAACTTCAAAATCCCATTCTACTTTATAATTATAGCCTAGAATTGCATACTAGTTATGTTCATAAAGCAGTAATTAGGCATGAAATGTTAAATAAATGTCCAGTAGCTCATTGGTAAAGCATTCCCCCCCAATAAGCGAGTGCTAGCAAGCTCGAATCCTAGCCATCTTTTCCTTTTTGCCAGCTCAAACCGGCTTTTCTAACTTTTATATAATCTAAAATTATATATTCATTTCCTAAATCCTTAAGTGCCTTACTAAGTGCTTATTGTTAAAATATTCGTAATCGAATCGCCAGCTAGAAACGGGGGCATCTAATTTCACACCCTATGCCTTCTTTGGATTTGTGATTGTGTTGACAAAAGGGATTTCTCCCAAAACCCCCACTCTCAAATCTCAATTCTACTATTCGTTCGTTTAAGGTCACCATTTGGGATCTTGTCTTAGTCACACGATTTTCAATGGGCTCTTATTGTTCTGTTTAGACTTTCAAGAAAGTCTTTTCCTACTTCCTATAGGGTAATTTTAGCAAAAAAACTAACAAATTCACCAATGAACCGATGATTTTCTCTAGATAAAAAGTGTTTTTTGAAGTCTATTTTGGTTGAATCTCGATCTTTTTAAGTAAATTTGTTTAATTTCAATCTTTTTAAGTCAATTTTAGTTGAATCTTGATCTTTTTAAGGCAATTTTAATTCAATTTCTATCTTTTTAAGTCAATTTTAGTTCAATTTCAATCTTTTAAAGTCAATTTCAGTTCAATTTCAGTCTTTGTAATTCAATTTTAGTTCAATCTCGATCTTTTTAAGGTAATTTTAATTCAATTTCTATCTTTTTAAGTCAATTTGTTCAATTTTCATCTTTGTAATTCAATTTTAGTTCAATCTCGATCTTTTTAAGTCAATTTCAGTTCAATTTCAGTTCAATTTCAGTTCAATTTCAATCTCTTTAAGTCAATTTGTTCAATTTCCATCTTTTTATTTCAATTTTAATTCAATTTCGATCTTTTTTTAGTCAATTTTAGTTGAGTCAATTTGTTGTGTTGTGTTAGTTGTTCTCTTTTGGAATTACTCCTTCTCCTTCTCTAATCATACATCTGTCGGAAAGTTGTTGACCATAAAAGAGTGTCCATTGACGAGAAATTGTTGACACTGTGCTCACCATCAATTCCTTTAGCCACTCTTTCGTCGCTTGTTCATTTCAAATCACTATTGCTATTGCTATCGCTTAAAAAGTGATTGTTATTGCGATTCGTTGTGCCCAAAAGTTTCTTGTAGTTTTAGATAGAATTTCTTGTAGTTTCTTGTAGAATTGCTTGCAGTTTCTGGTAGTTTCTTGTAGTTTCTTGTAGAATTGCTTGTAGTTTCTTGTAGTTTCTTGTAGTTTCTTGTAGAGTTGCTTGTAGTTTCTTGTAGTTTCTTGTAGTTTCTTGTAGAATTTCTTGCAGTTTCTTGTAGTTTTATATAGAATTTCTTGTATTTTTTGGTAGTTTTATATAGAATTTCTTGTAGTTTCTTGTAGTTTTATATAGAATTTCTTGTAGTTTCTTGTAGTTTCTTGTAGAATTGCTTGCAGTTTCTTGTAGTTTCTTGTAGTTTCTTGTAGAATTGCTTGTAGTTTCATGTAGTTTCTTGTAGTTTCTTGTAGTTTTATATAGAATTTCTTGTAATTTCATGTAGTTTCTTGTAGTTTCTTGTAGTTTCTTGTAGAATTTCTTGCAGTTTCTTGTAGTTTTATATAGAATTTCTTGTAGTTTCTTGTAGTTTTATATAGAATTTCATGGAAAACTTGGAAAGATCTAAAAAGAAGATCTATGAAAGATCATGAAAACGAAGATCTATCACCTCTACATCTGTTTGAGCAATTGTAAAGGGAAATTGTTGACTGTTTCCAGCATCTGATTCAATTTTCGTTAGCTCTATGTCTTTCTTTTTCTTTCTTTTCTTTTCTTTTCTTTTCCCCAGTCATTCCCCTCAATTACTATCACTTTCCTCAACTTTACTCGACAATTTTGGACCTTTTCCCCACTCTTCTTCAATTATCGAAATTGGCTCTCTTACTCTTTTCCAAATTTTGCGTTTTAAAAGTGGGAAAATGAGGGATGAGCATCTCTTTCCTGATGCTTTCAATAACTAGCTTCATCTAGCTTCATCTAGTTTCATCTTTTCTTTTTTCAATTTATCTACTTTTTACTACTTTTTACTACTTTTACTGCCTTACTACATTAAGCTTTAAAACGAGAAACACAACCTTTCTAGCACACTCAATTTGTCTCAAAGAATACATAATTTGAAGGCACTAGAGGGCGAGTGTTTCGAGTTTAAAGCGCTTTAAACTCGAAACAATTTAAAGCGCTTTAAACTCGAAACAATTTGAAGCACTTTAAACTCGAAACACTCGCCGTCTAGTGTCTTCAAATTATGAATTCTTTGAGACAAATTGAGTGTGCTAGAAAGGTTGTGTTTCTCGTTTTAAAGCTCAATGATTCGTTCTTTCAATTAGTTCTTGATGAAAAATGGAAACTAGTCTAGGGTTTTGTGTCATAAGAGGCAAAAGAAATGAAAGCTGAGTAATTGTGGTCTTCTCATTTGACGAGTTGACAAGAGTGACACCAATTCTCTTCTTTCCCTTCTTTCCTGGACAAGTCTGGGATATTTTCAGACTATTGATATTTGCCAGCCGTTTTGCCAGCCGCTTTAGACATTACCAGCCGATGAAAACGCTTAACAGTGGATTTTTCCGGACTGAAATCATTATGTCAGTATGGCCAAGTCGGCAGCGCGCTTGTCTATAGCCTAAATGGTCCGGGTTCGACTCCCCGTGCTGCCACTCAGTCTTGAATTTTAAATTTTAAATGACACAACTACAATATAAGGTTTTCTAAAGAAGGTTTAGCTTTATTGGTCAAAAAACGGCTGAGAAAATACCCGTATAGACGGACAAACAGACAGACAGACAGACAGACAGACAGGCAGACAGACAGACAGGCAGACAGACAGACAAACAGACAGACAGACAAACAGACGGACAGACAGACAGACAGACAGACAAACAGACGGACAGACAGACAAACAGACAGACGGACAGACAGACAGACAGACAGACAGCTACGACTCTTTTATATATAGTAGATTCTATCTAACAAAACTCTACTCAAATTAGACTTCTCTAGGACATTAAAAATTCAATTTTCTTGTTTTAATCTCTAAGTGAACTCTTTTACAATCCGTCTTTCCCCTTTCAACTCTAGGAATAAATGAGTGCATAATGAAGGAGCAATTAGAATACGGAAAAGGGATATGTGATGAACGGCGGGAGTGGGGAAAGGATGCTAAGAAGTTGCCATTGAAAAGCTCTGGGAAATTCCGTTTTGCCTAACTTGGGTAATTAAACCGAGCCACGGGGATTTCCGGTGCCTTACCCGGGGGCAGTGTGCCAGAAGCCGCTTTTCTTTACGAGCGACACGGAAAGAACGCACAATGTTGGGGTTTATGTCAATTGTTGAATGATAATTTGAGGAATTCGTCCATTGTTCAATCCACCGGCTTTTAATTGGCCATTCCTCAAGCCGGTTTTTCCGTCACCATGGCCGACTGGCTAAGAGTCCGGTCTCTTAGTCGGGAGGTCGAGGGTTCAATCCCGCTGGCCACATTTTTCGCTTTTTTTTCTCATCTATATAGCTTTTTTTTCTTTTCTATATTTAGGGCATAATGCTAGTGCTTTTGTAGAATATTATTCATTTAAAAAGAATGTCTTTTTCTTTAAAAACATATCATCTTTTCACTGGTTTTACTCAAAAAGGGAAAAAGCAAATTTTTTTTTTCCATAAAACACCACCATTTCTCCATTTTTCACCACCATTTTTACGAAGAAACGATTCGTGAATAAATTAAGGCATTTTAAAAGGGGAAAAGCTCAAAAAGAAAGGCGAAAACCGGGGATTTTTCGTTGAAAATCTCTCGATTTCCTCAAAATAAAGCCAAATTTTTACAAATTCAGCTTTTTTTCAGCTTTTTTTTGTGACATTTCCTTTTCCATTCTAATCTTTTTATGATTGACACAATTTAGACTCACTCTACCATTACTTTACTTACCATTACTCTATTTTTTTTTACTTCATAAACTCACCTCGAGATCACACGATTCCCTGATCTTTTCTCAAATTCTCAAAATCATCAAAAACCCTCAAAAGTCTTCAAAAAACCTCAAAAAAACCTTCATTTAACCCAATCAATTCTTTATTTATGTTTTTTATTGAAAAAAAATTGAGAAATGATTTGTTACACCGTTAAAACTTCTTCAATAAATCTAATCTCAATTTCTTTTCTGCAACTAAAAACTTTTGAAGAAGATGGGGGTGGAACAAATGCGACCTTTTTTTTGCGCACCTGGACATTTGCGCACCTTTTTTTTGCTGGAAAAGGCCTTAGGAAAGGTCGTAGAGCTTCGGTGAGTAAATAAAAAGCTAAAAACCTAGGGGGTTGGGACAAATGCGACCTTTTTTTGCTGGAAAAGGCCTTAGGAAAGGCCGTAGAGCTTCGAAAATATTTCCATAGAAGGGAATCGTATGCGTAGATTCCGAATTTCGACAAATCGGACCTCGCTGACACGTCAAATTTGGGCTAAAAGGCAAAAACTGCGGAAAAGTGTTAAGTTGCGTAGTTTTTGCCTTTTAGCCCAAATTTGACGTGTCAGCGAGGTCCGATTTGTCGAAATTCGGAATCTACGCATACGATTCCCTGATATGGAAATATTTTCGAAGCTCTACGGCCTTTCCTAAGGCCTTTTCCAGCAAAAAAAAGGTGCGCAAATGTCCAGGTGCGCAAAAAAAAGGTCGCATTTGTCCCACCCCCAAGAAGATTTTTAGGTATTAAATGATTGAAAACAAAAGATATTAAATCTATTTCTTTTTCTATTTCTTTTTCTATTTCTTTTTCTATTTCTTATTAAATAGTCAAGTGTTTTTAATCAATTTTTCAATCTACAGGGTGACCAAGAATTACCACAACACACAAAAGGTCCGGCTTTTAACCAAATTTTCAAACCATCACGAAAAGTTAACTTAAATAACCTTATTCAACATTTAACAGTAACAAATTAACAATTAAATTCAAATTTGCCTCCATCGGGATTCAGACAAGCCTGTAAACGTTTGGGAAACGCGTTGACCGTGGCGAGTACCGCGGCGTAGGCATCATCGATATCCCGTGCTTTGATCAGCGCTTTCTTCAAACTTTCGATATTTTTATGTGGTTTTGTACATTGCCCTGGCTTCAAGAATATTCCAGACTGAGTAATCCAATGGGTTAAGATGAGGGTGAGCTGGGTGGCCACTCAGAAAACGAGAGCAAGTCCGGGAAGTCCGGGAATCGCTTGCCCTTCGCAGCGGCTGATAGTAATTAAGATTTGTTCTTCTTGTACGGCTTCATTTTCAGCTTTTTCTTGAACAAGAACACTCCAGACTGAGTAATCCAATGGGTTAAGATGAGGGTGAGCTGGGTGGCCACTCAGAAAACGAGATCAAGTCCGGGAAGGTCTTTGAACAAAACTCTTGCACTTTCTTTGCCTGTATTCTTTTTCGAACAATAGTTTACGGGGATTGAAGCTTGTTCGTCTTGTAGATTAGCAACTTACAAGTCGGTCACTGAGCCTGAGCAACTTTCATTTGATGCTTTGATCTCATGCTTTGATGAGCGCCTTCTTTAAACTTCTTCAAACCCAACTCCATCTCTTTTTACCCCCTTTCCCCTCTTTTTACTATATGAATACGAAAAGTAAACACTTTTTTTTTTCAATTTTCAAATGCATAAGAGATTTTTGAAGTAAAGAGAACGGATTTAGAGATTCTTGGGAAAAAGAAAGCCAAGAGATTTCTCTGGGATTTCCTTGAATCTCTAAAGCTTCAGGGTTTAGAGATTCAAGAACTCTTCACCTTCAGCGTATCGCTTACATTCCCCGATTGAATCCTAAATGAACGTTCACCTTGAATCTCTCCAGTTACTAGTGAGCACTGTTCCCCGAATACTTGCCTAGCATTTGGCATTACTTTTCGCACAATGTCTTCCGCTTTTAACCACTTTTAACCGCTTTTTAAAGTCCGCGGATCAAAAATGACATCAAATTGTTAATTATCGTTTACGAAACACAACTCATGTTTCTTTTCTAGTCTCTACCCCAATTACCCAATCGAGAGTGACACTCACCTCAACAACGCTCGAAAGGACACCGATTACGAGCGGCCTTCGCGCGCCCACGAAACTCCATCCACCGTCGAGTAGGACACCGTCTGGGTGAGGAAATTGAGATTATGTGTAAGCTGTAACTAGTCCTGGACCTGGACCTAGACTCCAAGCTCAGGTCCTGGACCTGGACTTCAAGTTCAGGTCCTGGACCTGGACTTCAAGTTCAGGTCCAGACCTAGACCCCAAGCTCAGATCCAGGTCCAGACCTAGACTCCAAGCTCAGGTCCAAACCTGGATCTAGATCTGCTTCTCGCTCTGGTCTGTACATCTACTGTATAACTGGACAACCATGTTAACTCCGCTCCTTTTTCAGTCTGTTTTCCATTGGTAATCTATGAATTTTACTTGTATCTTGACCGCGTTTATCTGAAAAACGTTGAATTTGCTCTCATTTGATAGAAAAATTCATTTCGAGTCGAATGAGAGAAAATTCAACGTTTTTCAAATAAATCTGACTAAGATACGAGAAAAATTCGTAGATTACGGCAAACGGAGAAAAAGGAGCGAAGTTAACATGCTTAAGCCTGGGATCGTCAAAAGCAGATCTACTGTAGGCCTGGGCCACAGTAGACCAACCTGATCCTGAGCCTGGGCCTGAGCCTTAGCCTGGACCCGATCCTGAGCCTGGGCCTGAGCCTTAGCCTGGACCCGATCCTGAGCCTGGGCCTGAGCCTTAGCTTGAGCCTAAACCCAAGCCTAAGCCCAAGCCTGAGCCTAGAGCCAGGTTTGATCCTAGTCATTTACCTGGACCTAGTCCAAGATCAGTAATTCTTCTTGACTGATCATAAAGTTCATGGATTCAGATTTCCTTTCATAAAAGTTTGCTCTTCCAGCAACAACAACGGTTCGACGATCTCTTCAGGTTGCAGCTCAGTGGCCAGCTCAGCCTATGCAAGATCTTCACAGGGTAAAGGAAAATAGCCATTTTTTTTTGATTCAAAAACTTTTCTAGGCTCTTCACTGACGCAAACGAATCAAAACGAAAACCATTCGGAGTCCGTGGCAAACACAACAGCAAATCCCTCAACAATCACAACTCCATCACGAATCTCCTCCCGCTTGCAACCGCCAAGCGCCTCACCGCTGAAACAATCGCAATTTGGATTGAATGTGAGTCAATTTAGCCTTTAACTGCTTCTATTGACTGTTCATGAGAAAATTCCAATTCAAGCCTAATTCCACCATCATTTTCTCAGCTATTTCTTATCCGATTCCTCTGTAATTTCGTCTACAAGTTGAAAATCTTGATTTCAATCAGTAAACAAAATTTCAGAAGAATCGCTCAAGAAACAGTTGAGAAATCGAAGGAATTTCGTTTGAGTTGCATATTTTCTATGTCTACTATTGACCGAATCGAATTTAAAGACGATGCTTTGATATAAAAATCGTTAAACAATACTCAATTGATATAAAAACTTGTAAAACAATATACATTTAATATAAAAATTTGCATTTGATCCAAAAATTGGATCAGGGAGGCAGGGGGAGGGGTCGAACCATGATCCTCTGAGTGAGAGTCTAGCGTGTTATCCTCTAGGCCATCAACGTAGTTTGTCGGGCCGTAGAAAGAAATGTTTTAAAGGATTCGAGTCAGCATTTACTGATTCTTATTGATTATTGATCACTAAGAATCAGTAAATTCTTAGTGATCAAGATTAATTCTTATTTAACACCTTAATCTCCCTCCAATTTTAAATAAAAAATAAAATTATTATAAAATTTTAAAAATTTTTTTATTTTTTATTAAAATTTTAAAAATATTTAAATTTAACTTTTTTATTTTTTAAATTTTTTAATTTTTATTTTTTTTTACTATAAATTAAATCCCCTTTCTCCCTTTTTTTCTCTCCCCCCTTATTGTTCGGCCCCTCCCCCCGCCTCTTAGGAAGGCAGGGGAGGCGCCGAACCGTGATCCTGCGAGTTGGAGTCTCGCGTGTTATCCACTAGGCCATCAACGTAGGTTGTCGGGTGGTAGAAAGAAGTGTTTTAAAGGAATCGAGTAGAAAGAAGTGGTAGAAAGAAGCGGTTTCATTATTGATATCATCTAAAATATCCAATTTTCAGGGTAAGTCTTCAGTGACGAAGACGACGATCACAAATCCATCAATTCCTTCAACAAGGAGCTCAGGTTCAAGGTAGATTTTTGCAATTTAAAAGAAGCAAAAAGCAGCAAGAGCAGCAAGAGCCAAAAATCCTCTTTTAAAGCTGATAAAAGAGAATTTACAGCTATTAAATGGAAAACTCCATCGAAAAAACCTTATTTAACTTCTTTAGCTTATTTAACTTCATTTAAAAAGGCTTGAGATGACTAGTTGATTAGGTGTATATCTTTAAAAACATGGTGATTCTCGATTTGATTAATCGATACGATAAAAGATTCATTAATCTTTTTAAAAAGTGCTTTTTTTTCATGAAATTCCTTGAATTCAATAATTTTTTGAAGAAAATAAACCAAAAACTGTATAATTAGTATAAAAAAAAGTTCATTTGAAAGCTTCTTTTATGCGTTAAATGCCCCTTTAATCAATACAAATAAAGAAACGATGAGAATTTGACATTCAGCCAACTCAAACAACCAATTCAGTCAATTCAGTCAATTCAGTCAATTCAGTCAATTCAGTCAATTCAGTCAATTCAGTCAATTCAGTCAATTCAGTCAATTCAGCCAACTCCATTCAACGCAAACAACTGGTCAACAAAAGATGCTCAAACTGAAGCTCTTCTCTAGAGATAAAGAGAAGAAAGGATCGCCGAAAAATAGCCCATTAATGGTTTCTTTTTCTTAAAGTATTTTAGTTATTTCCTAATTACATTTATTACATTTTAGCAAACAATTTCTGTTTTTTTTAAAGCCTAAAATCAAAAGCTAAAGTCAAAAGCTAAAATCGTTTTTGGAAAATATCGTTTGCTAGCATGTATTTCGCGACTCGATCGCGCATTTCTTGAGTATTTCTGAAGCATTTACCGTATTTCTCTCTAATAATAGCGCTCTAATAGTAGCACCCTAAGTTTTGCCTAAATTCCTTGAAATCTCGAGAACCGCTTATCAGAACCTATCGATGTGGGGTCGGAAAATGTAGGTGACGATGAGATCTTGTGGAGGAATAGAGTTTTAAGCTCTGTGAAAACTTTGAAACTGTAAAATGGTCATCAACTCGGCTCGGCGGGAAGATACTATTAGAGAAAATACGGTATCATAATACCTCTAATCGTAGCGCCTTCCCTATAATGACGGGGTATTGCCGCGTAGTCTAACTTTACACGCTCCGTTCTCCGCACTGTTTTATGCTACAGTGTGCGTTTGAATGTCAAATGATAGCTTTAGAAATCTAGAATCTAAAAATAGAATTTTTTTGGTACTAAAAGAGTTGGGAAAAGTCTAGGAGCTGAGAAGAACATGATTTTCTAAGAAAGAACTTAGGCTACACGACTGTACGCGGCGGAGAGGGTATAGGTAGATAAATAGTTTGCTAGATAAATAGATAAATAGTTCAATTTCCATTACGGTAGATAAATATTGGGTTGGTGGAAAAGTGCTTTCGGATTTTTTGGGAGAGTACCTTAAATTTGTCGAATTTAGACGTTTTATAGCTCATCCGAAAGCTGAATTCAAGACGGATCGATTGGTAAAAACCGTTTTGAGATATGTCTTTCCGAAAAGTTTTTACAGCTATTTTAGTAAAGGGCGGCAGAGCCAAAAAATAGCTGTTTTCACGTTTCGTTAGTTTTCCGTGCAGAAACCTAGGCTAAAAACATGTGTTTCGTGATCAGCGTCAAAAACAACCCCTAGACACAAATTTTCAGAATCTTAGCAAAAAATTTTTGACAAATATTGTCACCGGTGGAAGTCGAACCAGCGACCCTCCGATCAATAGCCGTTCGCGATTTTCTTTTTTTTTTTTTCTTTTTTTGTGTACCCTGTAAAAGCCCTCTTACAACATCAAACAATGATAAAAACAAAACAAAAAACGAGAAAATCGCGAAAAGCGGCGGAAAGGCTATTGATCTGAGGGTCGCTGGTTCGACTTCCACCGGTGACAATATTTGTCAAAAATTTTTTGCTAAGATTCTGAAAATGTGTGTCTAGGGGTTATTTTTGACGCTGATCACGAAACGCATGGTTTTAGCCTAGGTTTCTGCACGGAAAACTAACGAAACGTGAAAACAGCCATTTTTTGGCTCTGCCGCCCTTTACTAAAATAGCTGTAAAAACTTTTAGAAAAGAGATATTTCAAAACGGTTTTTACCAATCGATCCGTCTTGAATTCAGCTTTCGGATGAGCTATAAAACGTCTAAATTCGACAAATTTAAGGTACTCTCCCAAAAAATCCGAAAGGACTTTTCCACCAACCCAATAATTCAATTTCCATGAACTTGAATTTCTTCTATTCTCTTCTAGAGTCGAAAAGTTGATCAAAATCCATCATCGGCTGGAAAAGTGGAGGTGTCAAAGCCGAAAACTGGCCTCAAAGCACCAACAAAGATCATGACGCCGAAGAAAGAGGTGAGACAAAGTGCAGCTTTGAACGGTATCGACGATTTTAAGTTCAAGAGTACTTTGTACTTATCGATAAACGCGTCCAAACACACCCTTTTCAGTGCACTCAACTCCTAGTTGAAGCTCTAGCTAAAATATATGAAAATACACGTTTTTATGCACTGTTTTCTCTCTTTCCGAACACATAGTGTGCCAAAGACGATGGGTTTCCATAAGCACAAAGAACATCTTTTAGAATTAAGCTATTAGAATCCATAAGCTATTAGAATTTCACTCAAAATTCTTTAAGAATGGCGCTTCGTTTTTCTCTTGATTGCGTAATTGAAGCAATCTCTTTCTTTATTCAATTCCTTGGAATCTTTCCCTTTTTTCGATCCATTCCAGATGTGTTTCCCCTTCACTCGAGGCGAGAAGAAAATTACCCATTTAACGATTTGAAAAAAAAAGACTTAAAGCCATTTTTTTTCTGCCTTTTTTTCTGACTCTAAAATTACTTTTGCTTACGTTCAAAAAAGCCTTTTAAAGCCTGCTTTTGTAGCATTTTAAAGTATAGAATTTCGAGCTTTGGTTATAGAAATGGTTTGCTTTTGATTATAGAAAAGAAAATTCGCTCAAATTCTGAAAGCCGACGAAATGCTTGGCCATTCCCAGTTCATGCTTTTCCTCAGCCTCCTAACAGTCACAGTACGCGTACATTACTAGTGCTATGTCAAGTGCTTAAGGCTTCAAACAACTCTAGATATCTACAGTAATCCTTGGCGGGGATTCAAAAAGGGAAATCACTGGCTCAAATGCTATTCGATTTATAACATTCACAGAATTTGATGCTGATTCCGAATTTATATTCCGTTCTTTTCTAAATGACAATCTGCTAAGTGTGATAAGCGTTTAAAGGTTGTGCTCTAAAAATGTGAAAATTTCGATCTTAGCGGCTTCCTTGCGGTCTTTTTGCGGCTTCAAACCGGTACAACCGTGGCTAAATGGTACGCGTATATTCCATTTTTGCTAAATGACAATTTGCCAGAAATTATAAGCGTTGAAAATTTTTTTGAGGGTCTGAAATGTCTTAGCAGCCTCCTTGCGGCCACAGTTTAGTGCAGCTTTGGCTTAGGCTTTGGCCGACTGGTACATCGTTCGTTTCCAGCCGCGAGACCTCACGAGTTCGATCCCCAAGCTCGATCTGTTTTGCTTTTTGCTGTTGTAGGTGACTGGCCTCACCCCATGAAAACTAAGGAAAAGTTGATGGCGATTGATCAACTGTTCTATTGCTTTATATATGGCGATGTGCCAAATCGATGTGCCAAATAGAACACGATTGTGAACACAAAGAACACTCAGGAATTCTTGAAAAATCCAAAGCTAGGATCGAACTTGTGAGGTCTCGCTTTAGAAACGAACGCTGTACTAAAGGCAAATCTGCACTGAACTGTGGCCGCAAGGAGACCGCTAAAATCGAAATAACCAAATTTTCAGAAACTTTAGACCTTTATAACTTTTAGTAGATTGTCATTTAGCAAAAAAACGGAATACATTATCGGAATCAGCATCAAATTCTGTGTCAAATGGTATAGATCACATAGTATTTAACTATTTAACTGGCATAGTATTTAACTAGTAGTATTTAATAGTATAGTATTTAATTGGCTAAGTCAGTTAAATACTATACTATTAAATACTATCTAGTTAAATATCAAGTTGACCTTCTCTTGTGATTTAACTAGTAGTATTTAATAATATAGTCTCTAGAGACTTTTCAGACTCTAGAAAAACTCAATAAGTGACTAGAATTGGAAAAAACTGATTTAATCGTATAGTATTTAACTGGATAAGTCAATTGACCTTCTCTTTGTGATTTCAAGCTCTAGAAAAACTCAATAAGTGACTAGAATTCGAAAAAACTGATTTAATAGTATAGTATTTAACTGACTAAGCCAATTGACCTTCTCTTTGTGATTTCAAGCTCTAGAAAAACTCAATAAGTGACTAGAATTCGAAAAAACTGATTTAATAGTATAGTATTTAACTGACTAAGCCAATTGACCTTCTCTTTGTGATTTCAAGCTCTAGAAAAACTCAATAAGTGACTAGAATTCGAAAAAACTGATTTAATAGTATAGTATTTAACTGACTAAGCCAATTGACCTTCTCTTTGTGATTTCAAGCTCTAGAAAAACTCAATAAGTGACTAGAATTCGAAAAAAACCCAAATCTCCATTGCTTTATCTCTAAAATTAAGCTTATGAGAGATTTTTGAGTCAAAAATACTCTCAAGAACTTTTCTACAATATGAAAAGCTATTGAACAATTTTTTAAGCTATTAAACCATTATAATGCTTAACAAAGATCCCCACTAACGTTTTACGTGCACGTTACTTTAGGAGAAAACTTGGCTTTTTGAAAATCGTCACCGAATCTTTCTGAGGAGAGATTTGCCGTGTGATAGGATTTTCTCATATTTACTCTATTCAAAGAGATTCAAAGGCATTCATTCCATCTTTTTCCGCCCATTTGGAGTCTTCTCTTTCATCCACATCCTCAGGATTTCCGGTTTCAAAAATCTCCAATCAGTTTTTAGGTTTCAGCTCTATTAGTCAATAAGTTTTGTAAGTTTTGTAATTGTTTAACTATGTGACTAGATAACTAGATAACTAGGTAACTAGATAACTAGATAACTAGATAACTAGATAACTAGGTAACTAGATCACTAGGTAACTAGATCACTAGATAACTAGATAACTAGATAACTAGGTAACTAGACAACTAGGTAACTAGACAACTAGATAACTAGATAACTAGATAACTAGATAACTAGATCACTAGGTAACTAGATCACTAGGTAACTAGGTAACTAGATCACTAGGTAACTAGATCACTAGGTAACTAGGTAACTATTTAACTAGTTAGATATAACTAGATAACTATGTAACTATTTGTAACGATTTTTATGATTTGATAAACTTTAGGTGCCATTGGTTCGTGCTCGACCCACTCCAACAACCCAAAGAACTCAAATCGAGATTGAAACAGTGGACAAGTTGGAGAAAAGGTTTGTAGAGAAATTATCAAGAAGAAATTAAGTTAAACTTAGAAGAAGAAGAATAACAAGAAGTTAAACTTTAAGATCTAATTCCTATTTGTTAGAAATTTCTCACTTTTCTTCTCAAGATTAGTAAAGAAAAATCTACTGGTTGCTAGCGGTTGAAAAATCTACTGGTTAATCTACTGGTTGCTACCTTGGAGCTCTCTAGCGATTCTCTAGCGATTTTAGAATTTCGTTTAGTTACTCGTTCAGTTATTATAAGTTTCCAAGAAAAAGAGCCCGTTCAGTCAAAAAGAAACCCAAACGCAACAATTTGAATCACTCTTTTGATCTCTTTTGATCTCTTTTTGATTTCTTTTCATCTCTTTTTGATTTCTTTTCATTTCTTTTCATCTCTTTTCATCTCTTTTCATCTCTTTTTGATCACATTTCTAACACTCATTTAAAAACGAATAAAATCGCGAAGAAACATTACACAATTGATCCCCTTTCTCTCTCACTCTTTTCGGCTTTATTTTTGTTGTTTGTGTGAAAAGAAATCTTTCTTTTTTTAAGCTAAAAGAGCTAAAAGAGCTGAAAACGAGATGGGAATTTGGATTTGAATTCGAAATTCGAAATTTTCCCTCTTTTTAAGCTCAAATTATAGCTTTAAGTATAGTAATAGCATAGTAATAAATCCAGTAAAGAGGTATTCCATTTTGGAAAATGTTTTCGTTGTTTTTGAAAGGTTGAAAGGAAAGAGCTTTTAACTAACTTTCAACGACTCTTAAATCCGGCTTTTTATTGGCATAACCAACAAAATGAATAGCTCCAAACGATCCGCCGACCCTGCAAAACCCTGGGTACAAATTTCTGGAACTAAATCTGATTTCTAGGCCATTCCCAAAGTAAAATAAAAAACCAAATCATGTTCTTTATGCGTGCTTTGTGCTCGCGCACAATTGCTCTCCATCTGGCAAACGGCCCTGGTACAAGATTCGTCCCTTTCGGCCTTCGCTATCCACCCCGTCCTTCACCGACCTTTATGCGTGCTTTGTGGTCGCTCACAATCGCTCTCCATCTGGCAAACGGCCCTGGTACAAGATTCGTCCCTTTCGGCCTTCGCTATCCACCCCGTCCTTCACCGACCCTCCCCCTTCACCGACCTTTATGCGTGCTTTGTGCTCGCTCACAATCGCTCTCCATCTGGCAAACGGCCCTGGTACAAGATTCGTCCCTTTCGGCCTTCGCTATCCACCCCGTCCTTCACCGACCAATCTCGTCGTCACTATACCCATATCTTTGCGATCATTTTCCCCTATGATCTCTTATTGCAATCAAGCTCGTTTTAATATCATTCAAAAGCTTGAAATCTCCTCTATTCAACGAAATAAAAGTCTAAGAATAATATAATCCCTGGACAAAGTTATAAGCTCTTAAAGCCAACCAGTCAACATTAAATCTACGAAACTTTCCTGTTTTCTTTCTTTTTTTTCTTCAATTTGGACTGGACAATAGAATTTTCTCAAGAAAAACTAATTTAATAGTAATAAAATATAATTTTCAAAAAAAAAGCCAACATAAAGTTTTTTTAGAACCTCGAAATCCTCTGAGGAAGACTCAGCGTACGCGGGTTTTGGCTCAACATCCCCAGCCTCGTCGACAAGCGCATCAAGCAGCATGTCAATTCCACAAAATATGGTAGATCTTTTCTGCATTCAAAGAAAATGAGTAAAATTTAGGATACGATAGCAAATGGAAAGAAAATCGATTCAGCTGATCTTTCATTGAGGGACAATTCACAGGTAACATTTACTGTAACTAGCACACATTGAATATCTTTTTCATTTTCAAAAGCACTCTAGCTAAAGCTAAAGGAGTACTGTAGCTAAAGCTAAAAGGAGTACTGTAGCCAGGTCACATAGAAATTCACCCTCTAATTTTAGCCAAAATCCAGTGTACTCTAGTGTTTGGATCTGGACCTGAACCTGAATCTGAGATCCAGGTCCAGACTCAGATTAAAGTTCAGGTCCAGATCCAAACTCAGATTTATGTCCACACTCAGGTCCAGGTTTAGATTAAGGTTCAGATCCAGATCCAGATTCAGATCCAGGTCCAGATCCAGGTCCAGATCCAGATCGAGATCCGAGATCCAGATCCAGATCCAGATCCAGGTCCAGCCTCAGATTCAGATCCAGGTCCAGATTCAGATCCAGGTACAGATTCAGATTCAGCCCCCCCCCCCCCAGTCCCATCCCCCCCCCTCCCCCCATTCCCGCCCCCAACCCCGACCCCGACCCGGGCCCAGGTCCAGATCCAGATCCAGGTCCAGGTCCAGATCCAGGAAAAGGAGTACTGTAGCTAAAGCTGAAGGAATACTGTAGCTAAGACTAAAGGAGTACTGTAGCCAGGTCACATAGAAATTGACCTTCTAATTGTAGCCCAAATCCAGTGTACTCTAGTGTCAACAAATAGGATTACAGACGGAAGCTAAAGCTTGATTATCCAAGGATCTAGATCTAATTCTAGAATTGATCAAAACGCTGTACTTGAAATGTTTAGGAACGCGAAAAGCCGACAATGGCTGTCAAAGGGACAATCTCTACCCCAAAATCCCATTCACGAGAACAAATCGAAACCTTTGAGGCATCAAAAGACCCAAATTCGTCAACAAACCCAATGACGATCACGCTACAGAAAACCCTGCAAAGTCCCACCGTTGGAGTGGTCAGCCCGATGTTGGCTAATCGAAAGTTCGTCGCGCAACAAGGTCTGTTTAAATCAATCTTTGATTTTTGAGAGCTAGGCTTATAACAACAATGTTTCCTGAAACCAAACCAGGCTAGAGCCTAGCCAAAAATTTGCCTGACTTCAGAGCCGACCCTAAAATCCTGGCCCAGAACAAAGTCTGACTAAAAATCCAGATCCAGGTCCAGATCGAGATCCAGGTCGGATCGAGATCCAGGTCCAGATCGAGATCCAGGTCGGATCGAGATCCAGATCCAGGTCCAGCCTCAGATCCAGGTCCAGACTCAGATTCAGGTTCAGGTCCAGGCTCAGGTCCAGGCTCAGGTCCAGATCCAGATCCAGATCCAGTCAGACGCTCTACCACTGAGCTATTGGCGTTTTCTTTCCCAAGCAAAAATAGGAAAGCCAAGGAATATGGATGATATCCAAGTCTAGATCTGATTTCAGGCTAGATCAAGGTACAGGTCTAAGTACAGGTTCAGCTTTAGTCTTAACCTGAACTTGAACTTGAACTTGAACAAGGCAAGAGTCTTTGGTTTGTATCTGGCTTGACCTAGAAAGAAAATCTGGCCTGACCTGTACCTTGCCTGGTACAAGTCAGTTTTGTATCTGGCCTGACCTTGTCTCCAGAAAAAGCCTAAGCCTAAGCCTTACTTTACAATTAGCTTTTACAATACAGAAACTATGCTTTTGTAATTTCTTTTAAATCTTTCATCTTTCAAAATGAATTTCATTTAGAACTCATCGATCCGGTGCCCAGTAATGAAACGACCGAGTTTTTCGAAAAAAAGAAACCGTAAGTCGTTTAAAGTGCTTTGTTTAAAGAGAAATTTCAGACCCGTTCCGAGTAGAACTTCAAAATTGAACCCTTCTACGGAAAAGGTAAGCAGATTTTGTTCTAAAGAGCTTTTTTTGAGAGTTAAAGAAGAGCTACCGTAGCTCTTTTCGAAAAGCTACTGTTTTCTAAAAGTTACTATGGTTTTAAAGAAACTTTAAAAAGTCTAGAAAGGCTTACTGTAGCCAGGCTTAAACCATTTCGATGATGTTCTAGTAATTCGCTTTTTCAGAACGAAGCCGATGAACTTGTCCCAGCAATGGCGCCAATCCGACAACCGCCTTCATACGAGCAATTGTTGAATAAGAAACGGATTGGCACTTCGCATAAAGGTGAGCTTTACCCTCAGTGACTCTATGGGTGTACTTTATCAGTGTAAACATCTCCTTTCTGGCATACTGCAAGTTGAGCAAAACAGCTGTTTTCCCGTTTTAAGCACAAAGTACACGTGAAGTCTTTGTGCGCGTACTTTGTGCGTTCTTTGTGCGCGTACTTTGTGCGTTACTTTGTGCGCGTACTTTGTGCTGAAAAGCTGCTGCAAACATGTTCTTTCTGGCACAGCGAATCTTTTTCTTTTCTCATAAAAAACGACGAGGAGAAAAGTGAGGATTCAGAGCACTAGAAGGGGCGTGTTCGAGAGCTGATTGAGCACAAAGTACAGCACAAAGTACAGCACAAAGTACGGCACAAAGTACGGCACAAAGTACAGCACAAAGTCGAGCACAAAGTACGGCACAAAGTACAGCACAAAGTCGAGCACAAAGTCGAGCACAAAGTACAATGTTTTTTAGCTTTAAACATACCTTTTTAGCGTAGTGAATCCTTTTTTTTTGCAAATATAAGCATAAAATCGATTCAATGACTTTAAAAATCCAATAGGGCCTCTCGAAATGTGAAAATCGACTCATAAAAACCGCGCTTCAATGAGTCGGGAAATGAAAAAGGGGAAGAGTGTCGATTAACGACGGCATTTTAATGATCGAAAAGGCGGGGAAACGATGGGGCACAATGCGAAAGGATCACATGCGATCACATGCACAACCAAGCCATTCACATTCATCCATCCATCCATCCATCCATCCACCATTGTGCTCACTCTTCAGCTCGACCGACAGCTCTAATTGATTCCTCTGCTTTCGTTTTCCACAATTTTACCTCAATTTGGGTTTCTTTATAAGCGATAAGTTGTACGTCTTAAAACTCTGAGTCTTTTCTAAAAGATGTACTTAGGAGTACAGTAATCTAGAAGTACAGTAATCTAAAAGTACAGTAATCTAAAAGTACAGTAATCTAAAAGTACAGCATTCCGACTTTTCGAAAAGGTGGTCCTAGGAATACACTAGCTGACTACAGTAATCTTAAAAAGTGTATTAGATATTGTTATCCGAATCAAACGCTTTATAAACAGGCTACCGCAATTCTCCGAAAAGGCGAAAAGTACTCCAATTTTAGTGAATCCAGTTTAGAACTCATCCAGAAACTAGTGCAAATTTTACTGAATAGGATTACTTTAGTGAACGGATTACTGTATTGTTGCATCAATAATCATTTATCATGAAGATCATGGATCTCCCTTTTTCTAGAGGCAGCTTTTAGAAAAGTCGGTTACAAAACTTCAGCCTAAAGAGAGCCTAAAGCCTTGGAGAGCCTAAAGCCTACAGAGAGCCTAAAGACTAAAGAGAGCCTGAAGCCTAAAGCCTAAAGCCCACAGAGTGCCTAAAGGCCATAGGCCAAAAGAGAGCCTAAAGACTATAGGCCAAAAGAGAACCTAAAGCCTTGTAGAGCCTAAAGCCTTGGAGAGCCTAAAGCCTTGGAGAGCTTGAAGCCTTGGAGAGCCTAAAGCCTTGGAGAGCCTAAAGCCTTGGAGAGCCTAAAGCCTTGGGAGCTTGAAGCCTTGGAGAGCCTAAAGCCTTGGAGAGCCTAAAGCCTTGGAGAGCCTAAAGCCTTGGAGAGCCTAAAGCCTGGAGAGCCTAAGCCTTGGAGAGCTTGAAGCCTTGGAGAGCCTAAAGCCTTGGAGAGCCTAAAGCCTTGGAGAGCCTAAAGCCTTGGAGAGCTTGAAGCCTTGGAGAGCCTAAAGCCTTGGAGAGCCTAAAGCCTTGGAGAGCCTAAAGCCTTGGAGAGCTTGAAGCCTTGGAGAGCCTAAAGCCTTGGAGAGCCTAAAGCCTTGGAGAGCCTAAAGCCTTGGAGAGCCTAAAGCCTTGGAGAGCCTAAAGCCTTGGAGGCTTGAGCCTTGGAGAGCCTAAAGCCTTGGAGAGCCTAGCCTTGGAGAGCCTAAAGCCTTGGAGTGCTTGAAGCCTTGGAGAGCCTAAAGCCTAAAGCGAGCCTAAAGTCTAGCCTAAGAAAAAAGCACAATCGAAATCTCGTGTGAACAACTTTTTCGGTTTTGGTGCCACCTAAATCTTTTCTAATCGTTAAATTACAGTATCCTCTATCTACCGTAATGACTTTTGATAGTAAATTAAGCATACGAATGCCTATGGCACTCTAGCTTTGGTACACAATGCTCAATTCGTGTCTCATAATATCGAATCTCAAGTGCTTACACTGGGCTATATTCTTTCGATGATCAAATCATGACCGAATATTCGGGATTAGCCTCCCATTGTACAGGGAAATGGTGGGTAAAAGGGAAAAAGGGAAAGACAAGGTGCTAATATGCTTATTGCATTACCCTTTTCTTGTCGTTCTCGTCGTTTCCCCCCCTTTTTTTTGCATCTCTATATCTAGGCCACTGTTTGAAGGAAAACGGGGGCAGATGTTCGTGTTCGACCACTCCATCCACCCGGAAATCTTTCGCCCAGCTCTAAACCTTTTTCTGAACACTTTTTACTCAATTCTTAAAGATTTTATGCAGTCTAAGAGTTAGCTAAATAGAGCTAGAGGACTTAAAGAGTCTTCTAGCTCTATTTAGAGTCCTCTAGCTCTATATAGCTAACTCTTTTCGGTAGAAAGTGCTTAAACGAAATCCCAATCTACTTTCTATGATTTTGCAAGTGAACCTAAGCTTGGCCTAGTTCTAATGCAGCTCTGCGCCACCTGGTAGCTGTAAAGGTACAGTGATCTGCGCCAATCTGCGCCAATCTGCGCCAATCTGCGCCACATAAAAATCTTGACTCAAACCTGGAGCTCTTCTCAAGTTTCACGCTTGATTCAAGATCTCTGGAGAGTTTTTAGAGACTCACTCGATTTTAGAGCTATTTTTCTGTAGTCTAATGATCTTGAGAGCTAGATCTTGACAGCTAGATCTTGAGAGCTAGAGCTTGAGAGCTAGATCTTGAACCATTGATTTCATTCTTGAGCTAGATCTTGATTTCATTTTCACCTTTCCAATCAATCCATTCAATTCCAGGTTTTCCTGAATCCTCAACAACAGAAGAGTCTCTTCAATCGGTTTCAACGACGATTCGTCCTCTCACAACAACATCAAGAAAACCGGAAACGAATCAAAAACAACAAGCGTCACCTGGTAGCAGTAAAGGTACAGTAATCTGAAAACGATTTAAGTAATGTAATCCTTTTACTAAGCTCGACTTTTATCTATTTTCTTCAGCTCCAAGCGAATCCGGAATTGCGATTTATGCAAAAATGCAAGCAAGATGGAAAGAATGCAGAGAAAGAGCGACAACTGGTTTTTATCATGACAGGTTTGTTTAATGAGATTTGATTGAACTTTGAAATGAATTGAATGATTGAACTGAATGATTGAACTGAAGGATTGAACTGAAAAGCTGAACTAAAGGTTGAACTAAAGATTGAACTAGAAGACTGAACTGAATGATTGAACTGAATGATTGAACTGAATGATTGAACTAGAAGACCGAGCTGAATGATTGAACTAAACGATTAAGCTAAATGATTAAACTAAACGATTAAACAAAACGATTAAACTAAGCGATTGAACTAGAAGACTGAACTAGAAGACTGAACTGAAAGTCTGAACTAAGCGATTGAACTAAATGATTGAACTAAGCGATTGAACCGAAAAACTAAACTAAACGATTAAACTAATCGATTAAACTAATGGATTAAACTAAACGATTGAACTAGAAGACTGAACTGAATGATTGAACTGAAAGACTAAACTAAACGATTAAACCAAACGATTAAACTAATCGATTAAAATAAACGATTAAACCAAGCGGTTCAACTAAACGATTGAACTAAACGATTGAACTGAAAGACTAAACTAAACGACTAAACTAAACGATTAAACTAAACGATTGAACTAAATTGAAAGGCTCTTTTTCTGCACTGAATGGTCCTTTGTACTCAATTATCTAAACGCATCTTTCTTAGCTCTTTGCTAGCTCTTTTCTCTCTATTTCTAGAAAAATGAAGACAGCCATACGCTAGAAATATTTTATTTCCTTTTTAAAGCATAAAATACTATACTTTGTGCTTAAAAAACTTAAAAACAAGCATTTCAAGTGTTCAAGAGTTGAGATATTCAGTGCACTAAAAGGCGTGCGTTTCCAAAGATCTTAAAAAGATCAAAGATCGTACAAAGATCTTAAAAATAAGAGAATTATCTCAGAAAGTTTGTTGAGTTTAAAAGTTTAAAAGTTTAAAAGCTTTTTCCTTCAAAATCGAAATCCTTTTCATCGTTTAAAAATGAAAATGTCTCGAAATAGTGAAAAATATTGAATAGGGACCCTAGGGATTAAAGAGATACGATCTCTTCACCCTAAAAAGGCTTACTTTTACTCGAAAGGATTACAAATTACCCCCATCTTCTCGAATTCTAATTTCAAAACGAAATCCATCCAATTTCTATCTTTCTTTCTTTCTTTCTTTCGATCCTTTCGAAATCCCCGCTTTTCAAATGATTCATTGAAATTTTCATAAATTCAAATCTTTCTTAATTCTTAAGGATTAGGATTTGCATTAAGCTTTAGAAGATTTAGCTTTTAAAAAACTACAAATGAATGAGATTGAGAATGAGAAATTGAGTGCACTAGAAGGGATGTGTTTAGCTATTCTTTTTGGTTTAGGCTTAGATTTTAAAGAAAACAGTTGGATGCTTTGATTCAGCTTAGCCTAGAGGTCCAGCTTAGCCTAGAGGTCCAGCTTAGCCTAGAGATCCAGCTTAGCCTAGAGGTCCAGCTTAGCCTAGAGATCCAGCTTAGCCTAGAGATCTCCAATTGTTCCCTTGTGCTCATTTTGGTAAACACATCTATCCTGGTGCATTTGATTTCATATCTTTACGACAATAAGGATATACTAATAAAGCGCTAATAAAGAAATAAAAAGAAAAACTGAAATTTCCTTGGAAAGGATTGAACCCTCGAGCTCTCCCTTCCCCTGTTCGCTTGGTGTTCTATTGCTCTAGCCACTGAGCTATTCGGTCCCTTGAACAGGCGGGAGAAAAAGGGAAACATAAAGGAAAAGAAGGACGATTATTTTATTTACAATTATTTTTTGTGTAAACTCGTTTTTAAGGTTTTTATTCTTTATTTTGTAAAAGTTTCTAGAGAATTTTATAGTAGTTTTAAAGAGGAGATTCAGCGCTATCGAATCGCTATAATACTTTCGTTTTTCTTTTGAATTCAGCCAAAATTATCAGCAAAACAGAAAGGTACACTCAAAATATTGAATACTTTTAAAAACCTCAGTAAAATGAGCAATTCACTGATTTTATGCAATTCTTTATAAACAAAATTGACCTCTCTCTTTGTTTCTTTTCATTCGTTAACCGATTTCTTTTCCATTTTCATTCATTTCCCTTTTCATTCCATTTCCCTTTCTTGAAGTGTGCATTCAAGCGATTTCTCTTTTTTTTAAAGGAAAAACCATCAGCTGCCAATGAAAAACTCTTCAGAAAATTCTATAGATTTCCTTTTTTTTAGCTCTTTAAACAGTTACAAAGCTATTTTTCAAATTTACATTTGGAAAAATGATCTATAGCTCCTGTTTGATCTATAGTTCTTGCTTGATCCATAGCTCTTGTTTGATCTATAGTTCTCGCTTGATCCATAGCTCTTGTTTAAACTATAGTTCCCACTTGATCCATAGCTCTTGTTTGATCTATAGTTCTTGCTTGATCCATAGCTCTTGTTTGTTCTTATCATTGTTGATTACTGTACATTTAAATCTATCTAATCCTTTATCAAATTATCTTTAGTCAGAGATGTTAATCAGCTTTTTTTAAAGCCTTTTTTCTAAGCCTTTTTTCTCTAAAGAGTTTAAGCTAAGTCAACAATTGTCCAAATTGTAGCCAGAGATGTTGAATTTAAATCTAAACGCTTGAAAGTGAAGCGAATTTAGTTCAGAAGCTAGTTCCATTTGCCAACTTTAGCAATTGGCCAGTCATTTCTTCAGATTTCCCTACAATTTTCTTTTCAAGGCCGAATTTCATAACGCTTTCTTTGAATTTTGAGTGAAAAGAGATTGACAAGCCCAGCTGGCAGCTGGTTGCGCGCAAAATTGACGTTTTTTTCTTACCAAATCTAAAAACATTCAGGTTTTTTGCAGATTTAATCGAATTTTCGAATTTCATTTGAAGTTTTGGAAATGATTTGAATCATGTTTGAGCTATAGTTCTTGATTGAGCTGTAGCTCTTGATTGATCAAGAACTAGAGCTCTTGATTGATCTATAGCTCTTGATTGATCTATAGTTCTTGCTTGATCTATGCTTGATGCTTGATCTATAGCTTGATGCTTGAACTATAGTTCTTGCTTGATCTATGGTTCTTGCTTGATCTATGGTTCTTGCGATCTATAGCTCTTGATTGATTTGTAGTTCTTGATTGGACTATAGCTCTTGATTGCTCTACAATTCTTGTTTGATCTATAGTTCTTGTTTGAACTATAGTTCTCACTTGATCTATAGTTCTTGATTGATCTAGAGCTCTTGCTTGATCTATAGTTCTTGCTTGAACTATAGCTCTTGTTTGATCTATAGCTCTTGCCTGTTCTTGCCATTGTTGATTACTGTCCTTGTCTTCAACGAATCCAAATCGTTACCTAGACAAAAATGATCGTATACCTAGCTTTTCTAACAGTTAAAGTGTTTTCACTTTAACTGTTAGAAGACTTTTTCAAGTCACTAAAGTTAGACAAGTCAAAATTAGTTCTGCATTTCTCCAGCTAAATACTTTAAACAAAAAAGAACTTTGATATTCTTTCAATTTATTAATCAAGCTATTTTTCTATCCATTAATCTATCTTCCTCCTTTATTGAGTAGAGTTTTGAAGATTTCAGTTGAATCTTTTTCTCTATCAAAGCTATCAAAGCTGTCTAGCAAGTTGTCTAAGCTGTCTAAGTTTGTCTGTTTTCTCTAACGGACTTCTCACTGTGGCAATCATCACTTGAACTACTTTTCTATAAAGCCTTGACCCCAATCCTTATTTCGATTGAGTAGTTAAAAATCTGAGTTGAGCCTCAATTCCCCTATTCACCCCGGCAACCATGAATATGCTAATGTTCGACTCTCTCGAAACTGAGCCCTTTCATTCATTCTTTCCTCTCAATCCTTTGTCATTTCATAAAGCACATATGTGCCTCCAGGCAAGTACGACTTTTTCATACACTTTTCGATACACTAAAAGTTGTGTTAGAAAAGTTGAGGCTTGTAATAAGATATCTATACTTATCAACAGTATTTTTATCTGTGGCACTACTTTACTTATCTTGCGATTCATTGATGTTATCTACTTAATAGCTTTGATGATTGATATATTGAATATATTGACATCTATTGTCTTTTTTAGTATATCAAGTTTACTTGCACTTTTAGCACTGTTAGTTCTATAGTAGATCTACAGTAGATCGAGAATGGATCTATTGTCGATCGACAGTAGATCAACAATAGATCTACAGTAAATCGATAGTAGATCGACAGTAGAGCTACAGTAGAACTACAGTAGATCGACAGTAGATCTACAGTAGATTGACAATAGAGCTATTGTAGATCTACTGTAGCTCTACTGTAGCTCTATTGTAGCTCTACTGTAGCTCTACTGTAGCTCTACCGTATCTCTACTGTATCTCTACTGTAGCTCTACCGTAGCTCTACTGTAGCTCTACCGTAGCTCTACTGTAGCTCTACTGTAGCTCTACTGTAGCTCTACTGTAGCTCTACTGTAGCTCTACTGTAGCTCTACCGTATCTCTACTGTATCTCTACTGTAGCTCTACCGTAGCTCTACTGTAGCTCTACCGTAGCTCTACTGTAGCTCTACTGTAGCTCTACTGTAGCTCTACTGTAGCTCTACTGTAGCTCTACTGTAGCTCTACTGTAGCTCTAATGTAGCTCTACTGTAGCTCTACAGTAGCTCTACTGTAGATCTACCGTATCTCTACTGTAGATCTACAGTCGATTGATTGACTCATCGCTAAGTTAAAGAATCTGAACTGAGTGCGGGTAATTGTGCGCCATCCTGTACTTGTCTTATGAATACTCGTCTTACAAATACTCGTCTTACAAGTACAAGTCTTATAGTACAGTACAGTACACAGTACAGTACAAATTACAGATAAAACAATAGTCAAATCGATTTGTACTTGCTTTATAGCCAACGTACATTTATTTATAGCCTAGCCTATTCTTATAGGCTTTAGCCACGGCCATTTCTAGCCTAAAGCCTAGCCTATTCTCGGTGAAAGCGTCAGAAATTCTGCGGTCACTAATTTTGCGCTAAATGT